GGGAAGTTGACGTTCAAGATGGACACGATTTAGAGTGAAGTTGTGATTGCAAATGGTTGTGGGTGGTCGATAAGTGTGCTTACGTTCACCTTAACAGTTTATATCTCGCTTCAGCTACGAGTATGATCAGGAATGGATTCAGCTCGTCCAGCTACGGTCAGGTAGAAGTAGGAATGCAGATATACATTGTGCATTAGGTAGCTCCATGGCGGCGATGGAGCTACCTAATGCACAATGTATATCTGCATCGCCGCCATGGTCTAGCAGTCGTGAAATAGCATGTTGCAGTCTACATGTAACCCTGACGATGTTGGTAGATATATCTACCGATAAAACACCCTCACAAGTCTAAGAATGATGTATTATGGTCTTGTTGGCTTAGCAGTCTTCGAGGATGAGTTTGCAGTCTGGGAACTGCTGGATCGTGGCGAGCCACAGGTTGAACCGCTCCATGTCTGGGATTTTGAACGTGACACTCGTGCCATGTCGACTCACCAGTCGAATGTGTCCGTGGTCGGGAGTAGCAAACATGACCTTGAGCGAAAAGTGGGTCCATTCCTTCAACACTGGGCACGCGTCGTAGCAGTCCAGCGAGCAGTCGGTGAGGACATACCAGTTGTACGCATCGCACAGCATGCCACGTGTCCTCAACGTGCCCGTGAGTGTCGCGTCGAAGAAGTTGATGTCTGAATCGCCGCGGGGCAATACCAGTCCGTCCACATTGGGGTGGGTGGTGGCATGCTCGTCCGATTCCGAAGCGAGGGCTTGGTTGATGGCGTCCACCCATTCCTGGCACTGGGCCGGCGACGTTGTGTAAAGCGTCTGTGTGCCCTTGGTACTGGAAAACATAGATGGCGACGGGTTCGTCGTGTCGGGGGTGAACTGAAACGCACTGGAGTCTGTGGGGTCGACGGTGACCGCCGATTTCGCCGTGAGCGGAACCGACCATAGCTTAGTGCACGCCACGGCCGCGGCGGACGGCGCAAAGTACACGCGCTTGTGGCCGAGAAACAACGCGTTGGGCTCCCACGCTCCCGTAAATCCGTCGCGAACTAACGCCGTGGTGGCGCATTTGATGGTCTTGTACGGTGTGAACGGGACTAGGCGGCGCGGACGGAGAGTTGGCAGCGGCACGTTGTGGGCCATGTATCGGGTTATAATGTCCACGACCTAGTAGGAATAGTATAGTATTATCATACGGATCTAAGTTAGAGAATCAAGCGTCGAACGCGATACTTTTGGAATACAAGTATTACCGGTCGACAGATGGCCAAAAGGGTGATCGTGACCACCGCCTCGGACGACCAGTACACGCTGTGCGACAGCGGCGCGTACAACGTATCGATAGGCCCTTCAAAGAACCTGCGTTGGACTTCAAAGTCGATGCGTGCACCGTCCCAGTCATTGCACACCGAGGCAATGTCGGTGAGTTTGTCGTATATGAGCACCATCTCGCCAAACGTTTTGTTCTTGAACGAGTCCGCCTGCAATGTTTTCCCAACAACTCCATGAGCCACCAAAAACGGGCTAAAGCAAGATAGATAGGACAGGTGGCTTTGTACCTTCTGGAGCTTGATGGCAGGGTAGTCGGACATGCCGACGTCCACGAGCGGCTCGACGCGGTACGCAATTGGATCCGCGGGATGAAACAGGTTGAAGTAGTGGTTCACTTTCGGGCGGCGAAGCCCCCCAGTGCACACACTGTCTTGGATGTCCAGTTGGCCCCGGGATAAGGCAAAGATGGGCACGGGCGACCCCGCGCAAAACAGGTTTTCCACGGGGAACGCCAGACCAGGGAACACGACGCCGTTGCTGCCGACCTCCCCCGCTTCATGCGTGAGGATGTCGTACGCCACGAGCGTCCCCAGCGAGTGTGCAAACACCGACACAAACCCTTGCCATCCTGACAAAGACTTTGTGTCAGAAACCCCGAAACGCCATGGTATGGTTGGGGTACAGTACCTGGATTGGCCGCCATGAACGCCATGTACTTGTCGTTCATTTGCTTGGTGACAGTGTCGACGATCATTTGGCCGTACTTGGGAGCCGAGTAATACAGCACGTCCATGATCAATCGCTTGTTGACATCGCGAAGTCTACGAAATCAATGAAGAGTTAACCATCGAAACAATAATACATCAACAACAAAGCACAAACGTTGTCGACGCGGCGGGGGAGATCTTGTCAAACACGTCGTCCACGCCCGACTTGTGTACTTCCGAGTGCCATTCGATGGGGTGAATCTCCAGCGACAAGGGAATTTCCCTACATTTTTTCACCCACATAAACACATATATCATCGTCACAGCCTCCATGGGCACGCACTTGGAAAACAGCGAGTCGCGCATCGTGCTAAACAGTTCGCGAAAGTTGCCGCTCTCGCCCGTGCTCCCGTTGTCGTCATCGTACGATTCCACGACAAAGTCCTTGTGTTCACCAATGCCATGCACGACAAACATGAGGTGGTTGATGTTTTCCACCAAAATCTACACCAACAACACCGTCATACAATAAATAGCACCAGCATTTTCGACAACTACGGTACTTCAGTCGGGAACGTTTCAGCTTGCACCGCGGCCGGCTCGTCCGTGGCTTCCAACTCGGCCTCGGATTCATGCACGTATACGCCAGAGTTGACGACTTTTGCCTCGTCTAATTCTGGTTGTTGAGAGGATGAAGGGGGGGGGGGCGGAAGAAGCGCAGGGCCTTCCATCACTCGATGTTCATCGTCCTTGACGATGTCGTCCAATAGTTGTTGCTTGTCACTTGTCAACAAGCCCAACGCTGTGTTCACTGCGACTTGGATGGCAGTGAGGGCGTGGACAGTGGCTAGGAGGTTCGAGTCACCGACCGTCACTTGGTTGGTATCGTCGGCGGCGGCGGCCGTGTCTCCAAAAAGTACGTCGGCAGCTTTGGACAAGGCCGCGCCGTGGGCTTGAACGTCCTGCACGAGCTCCAGGATCGACGCCACAGACGCCTTGGATAGCAATGTCGTCAAAGGCAACTGCGGCGGCAGTAGCCGCTTCCACTTGGACCCCCATTGTATCAAATAAATCAAATTGTGATCAACATGACAGAGGGTGACGTGGGGACGATCGTTACATCAGGATGTGCCATTAGAATACATGGAATAACATAACGTGCGTGCGTGAAGGTCGTTTGACGGAGAATAAGTCGTCGTTCATAGAACTATTGTAACTATAATTAATATGCAGTAACGTTGCTAATCTCGAGTGATACTACGTCATACCGGTACCCGATACTATCTGGCACGTTATCAGTTCCCCCCCTAATCTATCACGCAATCGTGAGAACACATCAAACGAATGGTTGGCAACGCTCTCTGTCGGGTCGCCGTTTTGTGCTAGTTGAAGTTCGGCGACGGGTATCCGATTCTGATTGGCCATTGTGCAGCGGGGGTTTCACCAAGGAACCAATCACCATCTTCAACATACATTTCACTCTGATCAAGTGTCACGTAATTCGAACAACAGCAAAACAACCGGTAACAACGTTAACCCTTCCACCAGTACCCACGCATTGCTATATGTACCTTTTAAGGAGTCCGTTGCTCTTATATCTTATGTTTGAATACCATCATACTGTATTCGATATCCCAAACTTCTACATATTGCAGCCACTCAACCCCGTAATGTTCAATCCTCATAACGACGTCGCACGCGCTCGCCGGACGTTCCTACTTTTTTCGACGATACATGCAAATGACTAGGCGACGGTGGCCCACGCTTTTTTGTAGCTTGGACAAGCGATTCGGCGGCGTGGGCGGCGTGTGTGTCCTTGGAAGTCAACGACGCCATCGACGGCGCGGTGGGAGGCGCCGCGCCGTACTTTTTCAAGGTGCTACTTGCATGTTTAGTGGTTTGAAAGGCTGCCCGACATCCTTCAAACACGGCTTGCTGGGCAGCTGGCGGCCAGCGCACCAATAGTTGTGGCATCACCATCGAGTCGTCCCAATCTTTCAGCTCATTGAGCCACTCGGGGTGATCGTCAAAGTGGTTTTGCAGCTGCTTTTGTTCGGCATGACGTAACAGAGCCACTGGATGCCATTCGTCCATCTACCTTGTCGATTAGACCAGTTCCCGATATTGCCAACCAGTTGACTTGAAGAATGTGGTTAGATATATTGTCGATTTGATACAAATTTGGGGACGGGGTGCGCCGACCAAACCGATCCACAATCGATCTGATTGGTTAAATTTCATTGAGAAGGTTTTGATTGGCTAATAATTTTGAGCTCATCTGAAGTAGCCAATCAAATCGATTTAAATTCCAACGAGAAACCACGCCACAACACGAAATTTCACTCGAAAGCACAATATGGGGGACTGACTCAATAATCGAATATGACCTGCAAGCACCAAATCGACCAGCGAATAGACCAATCAAAATCCACAAAAACACGTTCAAGTGACCAATCATACTCCAGTATCAATCGAAAATAGTGTGATTGGCTTCAAATAGTGTGCAAGGCATCATAAATCAAAAACCAGTACAAAATATCGACCGGGGGGTTGGTGAATCAGCACAAATAGATCCAAATTTTGGTTGAAAACAAATCACACAGCCAAATTCGGACGAACTCATCTTTATTTTATGGACCAAAGGCTGGAATTTTGTCAAATTCGCTCCAATTTGGACATTCGAGTACTAGACTCGGAAAGTATGAATGTGGCAAGTGCAGTTTAGCATGTCCAACTTCACGAAAAGGAGACATTTCAGCCCATAGTCGATCAGAATAGTTTCACCTTTGTCAGTTTGGCCCGATCAAAACGATCGTGTTTACATTTATATATTAATATCTAAGAAGCTGCAATTAAACTAAAATCGAGTCGCTTCAATCAGCTGCCCACCAAAAAAGTCCAAATTTCTGCGACAAGGACAACACAACCAACCAGTGTCCATCCACCAGGAAAGATTTAACGACATCTCAAAATAATATATATATATATACATTTAAATAGTGCAATCTTGATTTAAGATAAAAATCGACCGTTGTTTACCATTTTCTGATAGACTTTTTCTTGGTCAGCCAACGACAATACGCCTCGAGCATGGTCCAAAGTAGCAAATATCTCGGCATGCGCTGTGGAGAACCACGTTATAAACGCATCAAACGGCTTTTTCTTCTTGGAAATCTAAACACAACACACGGGTGTTAGCACAAGGTTACCATTGTCCCATCATTCACAATATATATATGTTGTCATCCAATATATATATATATATTGTCATCTAAAATATATATATTGTCATCCAATATATATATATATATTGTCATCCAATTTATATATATATATATATATATTGTCACTCAATTTGTCACGTTTGGTGAATTCTTGAATCACCAACAAATCCAGCCAAGCAATATGATTGGCTAAACATAATGCAAGTCGCATTATGATTGGCTAAAAAGAACGAATGTTGAGATGCAGTCACAATGGTACCTCTTAAACTAAGTTTTATATCATATTTCGAAGGTCCAGAGGACATTGTTGAGCACAACACACCAAAGATATACATTTCAATATTGTCGATTTGATACAAATTTGGGGAGGGGGCGCTGCAATCAAATCGCGCCAACCAAACCGATCCGCAATCGATCTGATTGGTTGAATTTAATTGAAAAGGTTTTGATTGGCTAATAATTTTGAGCTCATCTGAAGTAGCCAATCAAATGGATTTAAATTCCAACGAGAAACCACAACACAATGAAATTTCACTCGAAAGCACAATAGTAACGTTATAATGAAAATGCCATAGCCACGGACCTGGTCGAGCGGGAATCGGTCCAATGCAAGCGCCAGGCCGTCTCGGAAATCTTTTCGTGCTGCTTTGAAGTTGGATTTGCCTTCTTTTGCGATTTCCGCCTTGCGATGCTTGAGAAAGTGCTCGTAGATGGCGCGGCGTTCGTCCATGCTACGACGATGTCTCATGCAAATGATACATGTGATGATGGGAAACAAGATATGGATGTGTTTTACGTTGGAATCGCGCGGAAGCGGTCGTCTAACGCGATACGAGGCAACGCGGCCTCCCATTTGCAATATGGCATGATGTGTTTGTCGCGGAGCATTTGCCGGAACGCTTCGATGCGTTGGATGCTTTCGGCACGCTCTTCGTCGGTTTCTACAGGTGTCGACTTGTCGTCGTGGGTGGTCTCGGCGGTCGTGGTCGTCGATGGCGATGGAGGGAGCGGTGGAAAGATCGGCGGCGGTTCTGGCGTTTGCTTAGATTCCTGCTGGAGGGCAAGCTCGGCATACGTTATTTCCGGCTCTTGGCCCCATTCAGCCGGCCGCTCCCACATACTGTGGTTGGATGGGAGGTGGAAGTAGTAGATCGTCCCAAACCCTGCGTCGAACGCACCCCAGTCTCCCGAGAACGCCAACGCTGTCTTGAGCATCGCCTGCATCTCTCCTCGAGCTTCCCGCACCTCGATGGGCATCTCCCACGCGCTTTCCTGCGTCTCTTCGTTGTAGAAGTACGTCCATCCATCCCCGGCCGAGTATTCGGTCCACACACCATGCCGCCGCACCATTCCGATAACGTTAGCAGGGTATTGAATGTTGAAGGATGTACTTTTCGGTAAGAACCTCTATAATCAAATACTCATGAAATATAATCGAATGCAATGTTTTGAGATAACGTTAGCCAATCAAATTGGATGTTTGAATTTACAGTGTTACTACGTAGTAATTCACCTATTAATCGTACAATTCCCTCATTAACACCCGAAATACTGTGAGGTTTATATGGAACTTTTTGTATGCTCAGACGACCTCAGCTCTTACTTCGGGTTAAGTTGCATCTCAGTGGTTAGCGATAGGTAACCAGTAGCGATGCAGTGAACCCCGGAGATTTAGCATCGTATGTACTCACCGGGGGTAGGACGGAGTCCCAGGTTACAGGGCCGGATGTAATAATTCCCTCATTGAATCAGTATTTCGGGTCAAAACAACACTGATGAGGGAATTATTCCTATTAATCCAATGGAATGTTCAACCAATCACACAAATCAATCATGAGAAAATGCAACTCAAGAGAGTAAAAGAGACGGACAATTTGTCTTTTTAAGATGGTTGCAGGCGACACCCCACGTCTATCGTCCGCAAAATACATAACTATTACTAGTAATAGTACGAAGTAATAGTTAGCGCAATGTATTGGACAGTGTATGCACCTATTCTCGGCATTGTGACGGCAGCATTAGTTCGGCGAGTGTGTCGTTGCTCTGTAACGGCATGTAACCAGGTCACACCTCGAACAGTAGGCATTGATGATATATTTCCCACACAATCGATGCGTCCAGCATACCAATTTTCCACTGCACAACCTCTCACTCAAGCCTCAATCAGCGCCAAAAATATCTTGTCAAAGCAGCCTTCGCGCCAGGTAGCTTCGATTTTTTGTACTAGAAACTGTATGAACCAAGTGGAACCGCGAATTTGCAAGGAAAATGCCGGTTCAAAGTGCACTTTCGTACCACTTGGGGTTTGTATGGCAGTCCAATCTACAGTATATTTGGGATGAAATGGAGTAGCATGCTACAACAGCAATATCTACACAATCTAGATTTGGTATGCAAACGTAAAAGGTACATGGTACACATAATACAAAGTACAAGTTTAATTTGCATACAAAATACGAAAACCTTATCTTGAAATACATTTTGGTCCAGATGACATGACCGTCGCAAGTTGGTGTCGTGCTGGATGTTACTCAACTGGGCCAGGGTGCAACGAGAGATATCCTTCCAGCAGTTGCCACTTCTACATTCTCTCGTCTAGAATGAGCATCACCACTAGGACAACCAGCAACCACGACAATATCGTGAAGGAAGGCGCGCTGTTCAAGCAAGGCGCTGGCGGGAGCCTGTTCAAGCGCAAGAACTGGAAGCTTCGGTTCTTCGAGCTCACCCTCGACGAACTGAGATACAGGAGCTCCAAGGGGGAAGTTAAAGGGATGGTGTCGATGCGATACTGTACCCTCGACTCGATCGAGATCATGCCGGACGCAGATCGCCGCGTCAGTGGCGGAACGGTCTGGCGCATCGCCATCGCGACGCCGGCCCGCCGCCTCCTCGTGGCCTGCGCGTCCGAAGACGACATGGAAGCGTGGGTGGATGCGCTCAACTACGTCGCAGACTACAATGTCAAGCGAACGCACCGCAACATGTGCAAGATATCTCTAGCCAACGAAGACACGTCCAACTCGATCGTGGACGACAAGCCCCTGCCAGACTCCAGCCTGTACCACCCCCGTCACCACTCGTCGATTGCCACGACCACGTCATCCGAAGGCATGACGGTGCCTAGTCCCATGGCGTCATCCTAACGAGCCCTCTGCGAACGACCTATTTATTCACCATCACCAAGTACAACACATAGAGATAATAGAGACATAAACGTTGACGCATAAGCATCACTTGTATCATTGTGTGTTTGCTTTGAGCATGAATGTATGATTGTTGTAGCTGACGGTAGGTACCTACCGTACCTAGTCCCGTGCTATCATTCGATGCTGCCATGTACTGGCAAGTACAACTGTGCATCCAGGCTCAATACAATGGAGTACTACAGTATGTATGTACCATGGTTCAGTTGTGTATTGGGTGGCGAACATTCGAATCCAAGTGACGCTAGTAAGGTGGATTGCTTGCCAATATTCGATATCATTGATGCCGTTAACATGTACTAGTAAATGATCAACCACGACCGATCTACTGTTGTCTCATACGGGTATCAGTTGGATCCGATTTTGCACTACCAGTACTGTTATTGATGCAATATCACCGCGATTGTGCACTTCTGTACTGTACTAGTATGGTACAAGAGCATACAGTACTACAGTATAATACTCTGTGTACAGTACAACTAGTACGTACGTACTGTACAGCACAACCATCTTGAGAATAGGAAGGTATTATAATATACTATTATAGTCTAGTATTGGCAACTGGGGAGCCCACATTGCATCATACCGGTACCCGCCTCGACTTGTCGATAAGATTAACCCGCTAGGATGGACGAGATTTCATGAACAATTATATTTCAATGCAAGTAAGATACTTAATTGTCAATCACTATTAATATATTACTTTTTCCAATCCCCTGCTTGGAACTGCCTTGCAACCTTGGCGTTGCTTGCAGTGTAGCAGTATATCGTCTGGAGCCATGATGCTCGTACTGGGCAGTATGTACTAGTACTACTAGTAGTAGTTAGTAGGCAATTAAATAAGTATTTACAGTTAATCCGAAAAGCGCTTCAATAATTATTGTAACAAGTTACCGTAAAGCACTATTCCGCCAGAGGTTACGATCGTATGCAAGCGTGGCGAAGTTGCGCAGGAAGCCAAGCATATATAATATATATATATATATATATATATATCCTCTGGAGTACAATGGAACTGTAAGAATATAGTACTCGAATTGTCCATGTGTCCAACACTAGAAGAATGTGGCGGCAATCACACCATAACTTAAAAATTCCATGGCCTCAACAAGACTGACGGGGCTCCTAGAACGCGTATTCCCCGTGGGTTTCAAAGGAATCGGTTTTGGCAGCCAGCGATGGCGGCTTGGTTGGGGCAGTCCGGCTGCCAGAATCTCCCGCGACGCGGCGATGCGGAGGCAGCGCGATGATAAAGCGATCGGCAATGTGCTGATGTTGTTGCTTTGAAGAGGCGGACACGGTGCTATGACGGCTGCCGCTGCTTGCGTGGCTGTGCCGTCCATCGTCGGTGTCCGAGGACGAGTCGTTGTCAGAGTAGTCGGACGGCCAAAAGTGCGACTTGGATGCGATACTAGAACGCGGTGGGACCGCCACCGCTGCATGCTGTTGCTGCGGAGGCAGCTTTTGCATTTGGGACGGCCGACCAGCGCCCCCGCTTCCGGTGGTGTTGGCGCGAAACACGTCCAGGAGCGCGTCGACCCAGTCGTTCATCTCGTGCTCCGTACCGGCGGCAACAAGGAGACGGCGGTCCGGTGTGTTCACAGCAATACGCCATATCGTGGACGCGGACCCACCCGTCTTCATCGAGTCGGCAGGCATGATCTCGAGGGTGTCTTCGCCACACATTTTGAGGTTGATGTCGCCTTTCAACTCGCCGTCTTGCACGGTGAAGTACCGAAGCGCATGCTGGGTCAGTTCGAAGTACCGAGGCTTCCAGTTCTTCCGCTTCAAGAGACCCCCGCCGGAGCCTCTCTTGAAGAGCACACCGGACTTGATGATCACTTCGCCATTCTTGTTGCGGCGGGGGTTGGCCGTCGACATTTTCGAATGCCAACGGTTGTGGAATGTGAGAGCTATGTGATTGGTTGAATTATTCGCATTTTATGTGTTTGTATTGGATAACAGCATGGAAAATGAATTTTAATGCCGAAGGCATACTAACTTAATATACTTGAAGTATCCAGCGATGCAATTACTCAGTAGTGCACGAAATGACCGAGTGATTAACCAATGTAACGAGTGACTTTGTAACGCATAATGTTACGACGGTTATGGAAAATGCGCCTCCGTTGACCAGATACGCTTTACAAACTATAAGTCGAAGTGATCGCTTATATAAAAGATATAGAAATGCTTATTACATGTCCAAACGAGGTCTCTTATTATGTACCAGTATCGGTACGTGGTACTACTACCATATATAGTATATGACTACTACAGTACTAGCACGTGGTCAATCTCTTGTACTACGCAGTACTACGTAGTATCGATGAAGAGTGTAGTGCATATCTCTGGAAGGAAGAAATAGGAAAAACCAACAATTTGGACATTGGTCCTTCATGTCATGTATCCGAATCGAAAGGCTTGTGAATCATCTTGCACAAACCTGAATACATCGATGAGTACCCCAAGTACGGAATAATTGGCCTCAAAACCATCCCCAATACGGACGTGTAGAACGTTGGCGTCCTCAAGGACCTCGGACAGTTTTGGTCATATGTAGCTACCGTACTTTACGACTCAATGTTGAGTGTGGTACTCCGTTGCGCATCGCAAGTTTCTGTTCCGACGATTTTAATTTTTATTGGCAATTCGAATTTGTTGTGGGAAGTATGTGTTTTCGCGATTTGTATGAGTTTTGAATCGAGTAAAACCGAATCGGACGAAATGGAGCCTGAATGTGGGAGTCCCAGTATTGCAAGATGACATGCTTCTGCTCGTACGTGTACCTCGAGTATTTGTACTCTTTGAATGGAAATTAGATTCCACAATCCATTTGTCCTTCGTAAATCGAAAAGTCTATAACGTTATTGCTTTTTTGGAAGTGACCGAGTGATTTCCACATTTTACCCAAAGACCGAGAAATATATTCGCTCACTGGATCATTGGTCAAGTGGTGAGATATTTACCAATGCATGTGTTTCAAACCAATGACTTGGTCACTAAAGCATAACTCTGTGACTTCGAATTGTGAGTCGACAAATTCTAAAATGGCTCATCTTTTACTAACAGTAAATACACAGTCACTGGTTTTGAGGTCAATTGGACAGCAGAACTTTACCTCTGCGAACTCACATCACTTGGGTTCTGTACATTTGGTTGTGTCAATTTATTCTCCATGACGCTCCAGTTTAGAATAAACATAAACAATAGCATGTTGAAGCCTTGTCCTACCTGGTATACGACATGTAATGCCAACGTGTAATTGTAAAGCTGTACCGGTAGTGTGAAGTGCCCACCATGTATGTACAGTGGGTCACAAAAGTCATCGTACACCGAACAATTCGATACAAACAGTTAAAGCAAGTGAATTTTGTCATGAAATTTCAGAAAACATTCTAAGCATTGTGGCCAAGACAGTTTTTCGAGACGAATTCATTGGATTCCTTCGTACTAGTAGATGTTTAACGTTTGATTCCACGTAACAACAGGCTCCTATCTCCATAGGAACATAGTTCTACAGTTGCCACCAAATGAAGTTGTCCTTCGTAATGTACTGGGCAACAGCATTATCATTGGAACTTACTCGATCTTACATGTTAGTATCGACTAGGGCGGTTCAAAGTTGCAAATTTGAAAAATGAACTGAATACTAGTATAATCATACCCATACTAAGACCAAGCGTTTTTTCTGGTGAAAGCCAAAGTTAGAAATTTGCAACTTTAAACCGCCCTAGTCGATACTAAACGTCGATACTAAACGTGATTAGATGCTTGAATGTTTTCTGAAATTTCATGACAAAATTCACTTGCTTTAAGGCCCGCCTGGATACCACTTTTTTTGAGAAATATTGCGATAATTTTGCAAAAGAATCTCAGCGACTTCAATTTGGCGTGTCTGGATGCCATTTCTTGACCAAGTTATATTCCATAATTTTAT